GCTCGAGAGAAAGATTTCGTCACAGAATCGTTTGGTTCCAGTTAATTAATTAACTGTGCATTCATTATACGCGCGAAGAATATTTACCGCTGCCTCTTTGTCGAGAGACCTCATTTCAGTTTGCATAAATATGATCTAAAGGGTCGTCAACGGTATAATAAATTGTCGCGCTTTTCAACATAGGGAGAGAAATCAAGTTTAAAATATCAGAGTTTAAAGTGTGCTGTATCGAGTTTATAATATAGTGTTGAAATAACGGCATAAGTGATAAATTCTTGCGATTTCTCGCGGTAACTAATAAGAAAATAAATATGAATAAACTGGTCTCTTGTTTAAGCCATTAAAAGGGGATCTAATTACATCACGTTACTCCGCAGTGTAATCGTATTCTTCAGCGGGAAAACGGAAGGCAATGGACATTTTCGAGAATAATGGAGCGTCTGCTCTCCGAAACGCGGTATACCGTGAAAAATGAAGGTAAGACGCGAGACTGGACAAGAAAGTCTTTAGGATTGTGTACCCTGATTTACGACGACGATTTCTGCATGAGTACAAGCTGGAAATAAAACGTAGACATTGCTGTAAGACTGCGTCGTCAAAATAAACGTAACGCTGGAACCGAAGGAAATGCTGCGAGCATTTGTCAACGTGACGGCACGAGGAAAGTGCTTTGCCGCGCAGTTAACTATGTAACGTTCTACACGATGACCTTAATATGTCTTCGTAGAACGTTGTAATTTGGTTATACCTTCAGGGTGAAAATTGCATCCGCTATCCGTTTTCTGATTCCAAGGAACCCTCCCCCTGAAATTAGCGGTTTTAACCCGCTTATTACACCATCTCTCTTTTTTTTTCAGGCATTTTATCATCGAATCTACCGGGACACAACGATGTCTTCGTCCCTCTTACGTAATTTATCGTTTCACCGCGTGTTATTATCCGCGATCTCCGTTAGACTCCACTCAGAGCTCACTCTTACTTCGACGCATGTCTAACAAAATGTACATTAACGATCGCTGGTTCCTTACGCGGTTTCACCGTAGCGAGATTGCGGCATACACGGCACCGCACAAGTTCTACCTTTGCAAAGCGGAAAACTGCTAACTAATTACCTAACATTCTAATGTAATGAAATTCGAGATAGATATTCTACAAAGAGAATGAGAGAGAGAAATAGAGAAGGAGGAAGAGAGAAGGGGAGGGAAGAGAAGAGAAAACATACCTGTCGTTAAAATCGTATCATAATAAAATTCATTCGTCGTCGCTCGGATTACATTTACCTACATTCATCGTTTAATTCACTCTCCGACGCGAACATTTCCTAATTAGTAAAAATTACTAATACCAGTACCGATGTAAAAATCATAAAGATTGTTTAAGTCAGATCCAGCGGCTACCTTAATGTATTTTACATTACCATAAAATCAACTCCATTTGTGGGTAGTGCTCGCAGCGAGCAGGAAATGTAACAATAATATTTCTCCCGGCGGTATAAGGAAATACAGCGAATGGGAAGTGTATAACAACACGATCTTCGTATATTTCTGTTATGCGTAATACCATTAGATTACGCTAATGCGCGTGCGTGCTCGCGAATCTCGGGAACGAACTTGCCTCTCGCCTCGGCTCGTCCATGTATGGATTTTGCCAGTTCGTTTCGCAAGCACGACAGAATTAAAGTTTCTCTCTCTCTCTCTCTCTCATTCTCTTTATCTCGCTCTCCCTCTTTCTCTTAACTCGATCACGATGCTTTACACCAAAGTATCGAGGGGAAAGGTCGGTCCTCCACGGACGACTCCGTAGCGACACGGGGACACATGGCTAACGAACCGTGAGAGTAAATGGCGATGTTTAAGCGCCGGATGTTCGTGGCGGCAACGGCGTCGCTAGACTGACGAGACGTCGCGACGCCTCCCGGCACACTGGCGCTCTTCTCGCGCTGAAAAGACATTCTTCCGTCTTTTCCTTCGATGAACTCTAAACGTTTCTTCCCCTCCTAAACTTACCACGATACCCGTCTCGCTGATTCGATTAAATGACAAATCTGCGATGTGATGTGAATTGCAGAGGGACGAACGTAACAGAGACAACGAGACTTTAACATGACGACAGTCGTGAGGAAAAGAGAAAGCAACGGAGTACTTACGAACATTTAATTACGAGCACCTCTGCCGGAATAATATTCATCGGTGTATCGCGGTGCATACGCCTCGTTTCGATAGAACGATTGCTGCAAGAAGAGATTTCACGCGTTACGTTGTTTTTAATTTTTGATGCGCCATTATGCGTCATCGTGTAATTAATTCATAATGGATGTGTCATATACACATATTACTAATAATAAACGTGCGGTTGTTGATTGTTATACGTTATGACGGCGAAATGTAAATTACTCCTATCATATATAAAGCGCATTATGCTTAATCAGTGACGAAAATTTAACTACTTTCAGATTCGCATTGTGGCGGTGGGATGGTTTATGTGGCACATCGCACTATTTGCAATTAAACTGGTGTTCCCGAGAGGCGTCAAAAATATTTACGTAATTATCGGAATGTGCGTTCGGCATACCTGAGGTTCTCAACCATTTGTTTCTTATTCGACTAATTTTACGAAGATAAGACACGATCACAGGCACGGGAATGTTGCCGGAATTACGCGGTTTGCATTTATTGCGCACTTAATCTGTTTCGTGCTGGCTTAACCTACTTACATTTAATGCACCTAGTTTGTGTGGATATTATTATAGTAAACTATATACAGCACGTCCGCTTTCATATCCGTAAACATTTATCTAAAACAACATCAAATGTTACCATTTGAACGCCGCTATTCATTAAATTCGTCCTAGGCAACAATGTGGTAGATTAATATCTGAAATACTTAATTTCCCCGTTTTCCGTTACGTTTGTTTCCGCCTGTAAACTGATTTTAAAGATATCGGAATGGTAGTATGATACTTCGCAATTTCGTTTGTGATATCCCGTCCTTCTCTCTCACTCTTTGTTGCAAGGATTCAATAAAATTAATTCAACCAGCCGCGCTAAGCTTATTACACGCAACACTCTCGGATCTCTCAAGAACTTGTTACACACACCGGAGAGAAATTCCAGACGTTCCTCATTACGAGTCTATGATATTTGAATGAAAAGGCACGAGAGGGAGGAGATAAGATTCATAAATTAAATTTATAACGCATTCCGCGATGAGTATTTCATAGTGCGTTGCTTATCGTAGAGTTTACAGTACGGAATCTGCTCCCTCCTTCGTTAACGACGGCATGCAATAATAATTACGCATAAAAGGAGCCGGTTCAAGAACGGGAGCTCCTAACAAGGACAAATTACGGCATCGATTCATCTTCATGCACCGGAATAACGATTGCCCGGGGTCGGGGCGTGTTATTTATCGGTCGCAGCTCGCCGATATGCAAATCTTTAATAAGATCTCGCAACTGCGGCGGCAGCTCGTTCGCGCGACGTACTAAAAAATAATCGGAGCACAGAATCTCGTAAACGGCGTGGGTGTAACGTGGATTACGAGATGATCATTGCAGCTGGGAGAAAAAGCGATCGGTGTATATAATATCGCGTAACGCGCGTATCGGCGACGGCGCAGATTGTAAATGAAAGCGATATTCGAACGCTTACCGGGTGAAACGCCACAAATTGCCTGATACGGAATTCAATATCGTCATTATCGCTAATGCGAGAGGTGCTTGCTTGCTTTCTTTTCATAATACGTTACGTAAGGTTGATCGAACGGTCGATCTGTTTACGTAACGCCGATGGTCACCGCGGTGACCGTTGAGAAATGTTACCATCTAGGAAGTAAGATTACGGAAATCGCGATCTCGTTCCGTTCGCCCTCGGCTCGTTCCCTCTCTTCCCTCCCGCGAGAGAAACCGTGCAATCTCTCCGCGTACACAGCTCTCCGTACACCCGGTTGCGAATCGCCCGAGGCGAATACTCGATATTATTTCTTCCAACAACCTTGACTGTGGAATGATCTACCTTGTGTGTCGGGTAAGGAAACCTGACCGGTATGCGAGACGTACACCTGACTTCACCTCAGATTATAATGCCCGCACGTGATTCGCGCTCACCACGTGCGCGACGTCGATCGATTAGACAACCGCGATAGAGGCGATCTGTGGAGGGGAAAGTAACGAGATTGAAAATCACGAGTCTCTCTCTCTCTCTCTCTCTCTCTCTCTTCTCGTCTCTTTCTTTTTCTCCCCCTTTTATAAATCGATCGGCGATTTTGCGTGCGGATACGAGCTTCTGCGCGTTCGAACGGCCGTATGATAAATAATAAGCGTCGCTTTCAGACACGCGAGCGAGCGTGCCTCCGATATACTCCGGTGCGATCGAATCGCGACTGAATGATAAGTTTCCCGGTACGTCTACCTCGGAATTGTATCAGCCGTGATGACTGGTTCAGACACTTTCACATGTCGTCTGGTAACTACATTGTAATGCGTTCCGCCTAGTTTCACAGGAAGTAGTTGAGATCCCGTTCTACCGCCGGTGGTTATGATAACTCTCGATACCTTCGCGGATTGGACGTTACGTAAGAAAGCCAAACGGGTTCCAGTTTCACGGATGTCTGGATTTACGATTCCCCCCGTCATACGCTCTAACTGCAAGGCGCACGGTTGAGACCAGTTGAAAACGATCGCACGCTAACTTTCGGGAGTGAACGGGACGCGTTTAGTGATTCTTATTTCGCCGATGAGGCAAGACCGCAATCCTTGAAAACGGATTGACATTTTCGCAAAAGGAAGGTGTCGAGGCGGCGCGAGGAGAAAAGGGAAAGAGGGGCGAGGGGGGGGGGGGGGGCTTGGTACGGGCTACGAGAACGCCGGGTTAATAANCGCCGTGTTAATAATTTAATATTTATTTTGCTAAGACAGCACGGGTAAAAAAAAGAGAAACGTAATCATTATATACAAGAATATCGTTAATATATGTCAATGGACATTGGGCAGTCGGCTCTCGTCAGTGATGCAGGTCGAAGCTGATCTCGTGACCGCCGCCGCCGAAGCCGCCACCGTGTCCGAAGCCACCGCCGTGTCCGAAGCCACCGCCGCCGCCGCCGCCGCCGCCGCCGAAACCGCCGTGCTCGTGCACCACGACAGGGTATGACTCTTTAACGACCACTGGGACCTTGACTGGGTAGGGGACTTCCTTGGTCACGGTGTATGGTATTTTAACAGGTACGCTATAAGGTACGGGCACCTTCACAGGCACCTTCACGGGCACCTTGACGGGCACCGGGACCGGTTTCTCCACAGGGACATGTATGGTCTTCTCCACCGGGACGGGGTAAGGCTTTGGTACATGATACGGTACCGGGTGGTCCACCGGAACCTTCACGGCGACTGGTACTGCTACCGGTACATTTCTCTCGACGGTGTAAGGCACCGGGACCGGCACGGAGACCTCCCTGTGGATCGTGATGCCGGAGATTCGTCCATCGCCGCCGCCGCCGCCGCCGCCACCACCACCACCACCACCGCCGCCGCCAAATCCTCCGCCGAAGCCGCCGCCGTGTCCAAATCCACCGCCGCCGCCACCGAAATCGTGTCCGCCGCCGAATCCTCCGCCGCCGCCGCCGAAATCACCATGGCCGAGACTCAGTTCCAGGCCGCGCTTGCTCTTGGCGTCCTTAGAATCGACCGCCGCTTTGCCGTCGGACTTCTTGTCGGTGGCGAGTGCCACCGTCGCCACGAGGGCGAGGAGCACGAAGATCTGTCGGAACAAACGTGTTTTAAATCGCGACCCTTCACGGCCAAGGTGCGTCTGGCCGTTAAACTCAAGCGACTTCGTCGGCAGAGACGAGGGGAGCTATGAAAAAGGACTCGATCGAATCTCGGAGCGATAATTTGGAGGGGACGCGATGTACGACGACAACAACGAGGTGGCCGGGCGATAGTCTCCAGTTATGAGAGCGACGTTGCACTTGGGCGTACTTGCGAAAGTGTAATTAGCGCGAGGTGTTCTAATTACGTATCTACGGAGTTCGTGTTTAGCGCTCGCTAAACTCTCACTCGCACGGCGAGACAAAGGCAAAACCGTTCCGGCGGTCTCCACGATTCTACAAAAGAAGCACTGTGCACGAAACGTTGCGCGCGATACGCAACACTCGATTCTCGCGAATGCCGCGAACGTAACGTCGCGCCCTTCCCGCGGTCATGAGTCCCTCGCACACGCGAGGCCCTACGGATCGAGGAGGAACCTTACAGGAGCCCTCTTAGAAACGTGTATATACGTGCAATACGTGTATATGCCGCTGTGCCTGAGCGGCCGAGCTCACCTGCGAAGTGCTCATGGTAGCCTTCGGGAGTGCACACTGAAGTTGCATCGTACCAATCAGCGGCATATATACCGACACTTTCGCCCGTGCTCGCTGGCCCACTCCCCGGAAAATCGCACTCGTCCGCGGAACGACGGGCTTTAAGGTGGACCGATTGTGCCGCTATCCCGCGCAAAACCGCACGGCGTTAAGCCGTTTTCCCACGGGGGCTACCGGCCGTAAGGCTGTGATTACTGCCGGATGCCCGGATACGGAGGGGGACGCGCGCGTAACGTCGTCGTCCGTTCCAACCGGCTCAACCAATCGCTATCCTCGTGCACACCGGGGAAGAATCCGGCGATTTAGAGCCCCGCGATTGATCCGGGTTCTTGAGCGGTAGCTTTCGCGCCGGATCCTTCCTAGCTTTCCTGCTCTTTCTCGCTTTCTTTCTCTCTTTCACCCCGGTGTCGGAAACGTCGCGCGGGCGTACCGGAACACCGTGCGTTCCTCCTTTTGCCTGGGCCCCGTAAATTTTTACCGGACGCCGGCTCTCTCGACGCGTTACGCAACGCCGTCGCTCGTAAGCAGAGACAATCGAGAAATTCGAAAATACATAGGTTTCGCACACGTAATAAGGCGAATGCTACTTCTTGCGCCCGTAACTCGGGTTTAAACTCTCCTCAGACAAAGACTTCATCTCGGGTTAAGAGTTTCATCGGTAGGAACGGGCATTAGTCTGTCGATGGGTCGTACAAGACTCACACGCGAAGATATATATAATCCTGAGGAATACTTAAAATTTATGTTTCCCGCGATATTACAGTCCTCACGAAAGTTCCCGAGAAACTCGAATAAGAAAAAGAAGAAGTGATAATAATAATAATGATGACTTGTCCTTAGGTAACTTGCCTCGTAATAATGCTTTCGCCGGGGACATAAGTGGACGGTAATATGACGGACGAATTAATGTGCCGCGCGGCCGCCCGTGACGAGGGTCTTAAATTTCAATTCCAGAATCTCGGCGAGATTCTTCGCGCGTACTTCCTTTAAAGAATACATTTTAGCAGCGTTCGACGGAACGCCTGCATACTCGAGTACCGCGGGATTCGCGTAATTCGTATCGATACACTCGATTCAGCGGGCAATTAGCCGCTACGAGTCGGAAGAGACTCGTGGTCATCTCGCATAACTCGCGCGAAAATCGCGCGGCGCGTTATGGCACTCGCGGGAACGGCACTTGCACGCGCTCTCGCGTGCAGACGTATCGGAATCTTCCGTAATTAATCCGCGGTAAACTTCACGAGCCGGCCGTGCGCGGCACCGCGATTGCCGTAAATCCAATTAAGTGACAAAATTCATTGCGCGAAACGATGCGTGCGTGAAACGCGACGGCGAGACGATTAAACTTTCTCCGCGTGTCACGGACACGCGCGCAAGCGGCATCACGCTCGATACTCGGTTAATTAAAAAATAAAATTCGCAATACGCGCGAAGGAAGTTGTTAAGGTATCGCAACGCCCGGCGATAATGCGGTCGACGGCGCGATCACGTTAACGGTCGTGTAAGAGACGACGTGAAAATTTATGTTTCGACACATGATAATAACTCCTACAAAGTAATTAACGGGCTGCGCTGAGCTTCACTCAAATACGCACGATGTAATCAGTCGAAATATTAAGAAAGGCAAGCTCCACCTTGGTCTAACCAAACGACCGCGCTCAGCCAGATTCAAGCGTGCGTTCGCGTTTCTTTCTCCAACTTTCTTCCTCTCTTTTTTACTCTGCGTATCGATCGATTATTGGCTGAAGCAGTATTTTTCGCAACATAATAAGTAGAATCAAAAATTGCTTCGAACTAAAAATGTCCTAAGAAGATTATAATATTCTTGCTTATATATAATAATATCTATTCTTAATTTAAGACGAATTTTGTTTTGCGTGCCATTAAAATGTTAATATTGTCAGTATTAATATTATCTCTGGGAAGATAAAATTGTTCAGTGTGTAACGCACAATGCCGAATGTTTTTCAGCCAATCGTATACAATGAATCTACCTTCCATGTTCACACCGATCCTTGAGTCCCGGCGATGTTATTAAAATTCGTCCTCCTGAAAACCCCTTTCACCCGATTGCTAAATTTCTTAGAAAGCAATTTTTCATTCCATTTGGTATGTTGCGAAAAAATATTGCCTCAGCCTCAATAATCAATCGATACGCAAAGAGAAAGAGAGGAAGAAAGCTGGTAAGAGAAACGCGCACGAATCTGGCTGAGCGTTCATAATACGGCCCGATCCCGTTTTTGAAACAGCAGCGACGTTCTTTCCGTTTTCTCGTCGCTGTGTGCTCCGATCTCCCATGCATATACCCTTATTATCCGGATCTCAGATCAGCCCGGCTGCTGCTCGAGTCATATTCCACGTAGCAACTTTTTATTGGAGCCGCTTTCATAATCAATCCAATGCGCGCTTTGGCATTAAACGTGACTTTTACTTATAGCTTTGCCAGCGCGGTATTTTATTGACAACTAGGTGAACCAATGGTAACACCATTCCAGGTAAACGCCGATGACGTCTTTGCAAAGGTCCCACTTACACGACATGCGGTAACGCTCAAAAATGATTGCTACACGAGGGGGGAGAGATGAATACGCAATTACGGTACTCTCGGCCGCTGAAACGATGTCGCCGAAAGCGTCGGACGTATAATTACAGGCCAAATGAAGCGACTCGCGTGCTAGATAAATATGCGCATTCCGCGTATCGTACCGAAAACTTTCGATGTAGCGGAGAGTATTTGCTCTATCGGCTAACGCACGGCCGCGTCGCTTATTTAACGTTCGCGGATCCACCGCGAAATTCCCTCATTCGACGGGGATCGGGCTCATTATGAATCCGTTTACTCGAGTTAAACTTTTGCCTAACGCGAGACTCTTTGAGCTGCCCCGGGCAAAACGCGCGTGATAATCGAGCGGCCGCGATACGTGGTAATCTTCATTTCCCGGCAGTTAATTATTAAAATCGCAGTCCACTTCGCACGTCCGCCGTCGCGCTCGTGTATCGTTAATTAGGAATTAGCCGCCTCTTTCCCAGACTATCGTAATTTATTAATAACAGCGCCACGTTTTTACGGCGATTGTGAGACTCGGAGTGTTTCGATCGCGGCGATCGAGCGTCGTGAGATCCGATGTAAGCTGTGTAGCGCGTGTACGAAGCGCTACGCGTGCCTCCCCACATTTCAGTTTGATAAACAAAAATAAAATGCGAACGAAAGAGAGAGTCGGGTGTCGGTCTCTTATTCAACCGTTTCTTTAGCGGCTCAATAAAACATTTTATATCCACAGTACAATCTCCTCAAGTGAGCCTACTTATGATCTCATTTGTAAGCCTCCGTAACTTACGCAATGTCTTCTTTTTTTTACCGCCGCTGCCCGACGCTCTTTTCCAATCGCGAGTTTTGCCCGTTTCTATTTCTGATAATTAAGCCCGGGCTTTATCGCGTTTCTAAGAATGATCGGTGCGCATGATTCGGCTGTTAAAGTACGCGCAAAAAATCGCATTTTTTCATGGGCCAGCAGATACACGTAGAATTTGCCGCGAGATCGCCAAATTCGTATATTTTTCTTGCGTAATATGTGCGCATAGTAAAGTTATCGAGTGAGAAAATCAGAAAAAAAGCGAGTCGAACGCGGGCGGATATGAAAATGCATGAGAACGCAGGCTCCGACGAACACGCGAGAAAGATGGATAGAGGAGAGGAGAGAGACAGAAGTGTAAACATATTCGTACGCTATACCAGCCAAGCATTAAAATCGCGAGACCGTCTAGAGACAACGAGAGAGAAAAAGATAGTTTATTGACATCTCAGCACTGCCATCCAGTTACAGGAACAAAAAAAAAGTGAAATAACTTCTTGGTAGAAAAAAATGCCAAAAGTGACTTTTCAGATATCAAAGTAGTGACCAAAAATTACAACTTTTCAAATTCTGAAGGTAACTAAGGCTATTCTAAGACAAAGTTAACTCTTACTCTTACCTTCCCAAGTTTATCTTTCGATAACTTAACATATAGCGAGTTGTTTTTATAGTATAGTTTGAAAGTTCATGATAAGAAAAGATCGAGGGCATGAGTGAGATATAATAGTGTGCTTTCGGAGCAGTTTTGTTAAGAGAAACGACAAAAATATATATAGAAGTAACTGTATGACTTAAGTGATTGGTTGGCAGCGCTGATATTATAAGGCGAGCCCTCTACGTTTAATTCAACAATAACACAATAATATTATAATATTATATTATACCAATTGAAGACATTAGTGTACAAAAAAGAAAAAAGAGAAAAGAAGATATATATGCGTGAATATTTTGTCATATAAGATAATAAATTAAATTTTATTAGGTCTGGTATCAATTTTTAGTCAATTAGGCGTGCAGCCAAGAGAGAGGAAGAGGGGGAGAGAGGAGGATGAGAGAGCTAAAAATCATCTCTTTCATTTCCCGCGGCCGATGCTCTCGGGGTGCAAATTACGTTTGTGTTCGAAGGACGCGAGGGTGCCGCGGGAGTGGAAAAGGCGTAACTAGAAAACGGCTTGATAAACACCTTGAGCGAGAACATCTATCCATATATTCATGAGAACCGTGGTCTGGCCGACTCCAAAGCCTTTCCCATTATTGCATAAGGTTACGCTTGCGGTCGGTGAAGCAGAAATGCAGACTACGCAAAAATCCTGCGCTGCCGACGACGACGTCTGCCCGTCGTGGAGCACGCGCGCTCGCGAGAATCCACCCGGTGCACTTAGGGCGCATTCGCCCGCAACCTTCCGCGATATATAAAGATCAAACGACTCGAACTTTAAGGCAAAAAAGTAAGAGAGAGAAAGAGAGAGAGAGAAAAAAATGTTCAACGAAGATAAGAGTCGCTAATTGAAAGTTGCGTGTTACGTCAAGACGACTTTTCGCGAAATCAACTTGCATTTACGAGCGAGCGAGGTCGCGTTTTGAGGAAAAAGAAGCGAGGAAACAGCGGGCTGGTTAAATGAAATTAACGACGCCGCTTTTAATTTGAACTTTTCGAGGAAAGGTACACCAGACGCGGACATTTAAGTTGACATTAGACACGTGTGCTCACGTGCAAAGGATAAATTTGCATACGGTGCGCCGTCGCGTGCGAGATCGCGAGAGATTTTCGTCGGTTTCGCGAAAATGCCTTCTACGTGAGATTAGCACCACAGGAAGCGCGATGTGTCAAAATTTACATAATTGCGGCCTCATAAATATCGGGAGATTGGTAGAAAGTGCGCGATCGCCGATCACCACCTACGATATGAACGCCACATATCGTGTCCATTATATCCGGCAGTAAACATAATCGACCGGCTTGTACTTCGCGAAGTTCCGTATACGTAACCGTTTACGGAGTCACCGCACAATCGGTCGAACGGAAAGGAAACGAAAGAAAAAAAAAGAAATGAGAGGGAAAAGGTAAGAGAGGAACGAACTGCGAAAAAGTTTTCACCGCGATAGATTTAATCTGGCGGCCTATGGCGAGAGTAGGCGCTCGACAGCTTCCTGATATTATTCCAACCTGCAGGAAGACTTTCGAGCAAATAACTTCGCAATTAAAATCGCGAGGCGCGCGCGCACACGTAATTCGGAACGTAATAACAATTCGCGCGGAGGCGCTTATGACACAATAAGTACACAGAGAAACTTAACCTGGGGGAAAAAAAAAGAAGTAACGCGGTATAAGGACGTGTTACGAGCCGTGACTGCCGAGCGGGAATCCTCGCGACCGCCTTGTCAGAGATGCTCGTTAACTTTCGTAATGACCACCGTTTTATTGTTTAACGATATCTAATCGTATCGAGCACACGTGAGATAATCGTGTACAAGCGCAACTTCGATTACGCGTATTGACGGTGTATTTTCCATGCGGCGCGAGACGTCGGAGACACACGTGTCCCCTCCCTCTCCCCCTTTACCGTCACTAATTGAAACTTCACGACTTTAATGATAACTGCCAATCGATTTGCACGCGCCACTCGATGAAATCGGCAAACGCGCGCGGCGAGTCGGTTTAGCGTAGGAACGACCGCAGAAAATTGGCCATCTCGGCATTCCAGCGCGTGTCATTAGTTTGAAATGCGACGAATGTAATTGCGGCTTTGAATGCGATTAACGGACGTCCCGCATAATTGACGTTTTTCGATATCGATCTTTTCATCATCGTCCGACGTACTCTTGACGAAAGAACGCCTCTCGTGCGCGAATTCTCGACGGCGGATGCGGTCACGAGAGCGATACTCAATCGAGAAACGCTCTCAGATAGTAAAAGTTCCCCGGGAGAAACCGCGACAGGCTCGAAATCGTCGATTGTCGGATTTCAGGATCACGTCGGGGAGACGGTGGCGCGAGCAGATTGTGGTTCCTATGAATCACTATAAATTCATCGAAAACAATTTAATCCCCGGCTATAGGTCAAGTGGAAACTATCGCATACATCGGCCGGGCGATTTTTCGCTGCGGGTCGATCGACGGTCAATCGAGAGGGTGGTGAACGCCTGGCCTTTCGAAACATACTCTCCTATCCGGCTAGAAGTCAAATCAATATTTTCGAATTCAAATATGGAAATCCAAATTCAGATGTATGGAAATTTATTCGTGCCGATAACCCTGATAAACCATGGGTACGCGAGTATTCTAATATCCTTCGTAGCGGCGGCCGAGATCGAGGTACAAAGTCATTCCGGGATTAACTGCACCCGCGGGAGCTACGTGTGATAAACCAAAAATCGTGCCGACGTATATAATGCGCGAAAACCGGGCTTCCACGTTCGCGGCGAAAACCATTTCCGGCGCGCGGGAATTTTATCCGGTCGCGTTAACGAGTTCCAACAACTTCCTATTAAAGCGCCGGGCAGCCGGCGTCTTCAAATCATCCTTTTTAATTTCACGGCGGCTGACGACGGCTATCCGCTTCTCGGCGACAAATGTCGCGGCGTACGAAACTGTAGAAAAGAGATAACACGCCGGTTGAACACGCCATGAGCATGGAAATGAGGCGAGTATATTAAATTCGAAGGAGTTGGAGCTGAGTGCGAATGTTCCAACGCATTCATATATCCGCCAATGGCGACGGGGAAAAAGCGGCTAAGGAAGAGAGCGCTTTCGTGTCGACGGGAAATTCCGATTCTTCGTCTCTCGGGTTAATTAAGCTCTTAATATTGATGAAGCTCGCGGCGACCGCGGAAACATAGAAAAGCACTGACAAACCGAAACCAAAAGAAACGAAGGGGAACCGCGTTATTTGCCCCTGTCGTTCCAGCGAGCCGACTCAATTTACAATTGAGAGCTTTGCGACGACGCGGGATCTTAAAACGTTTCAACGAAATTTGTCGAATTTATTATTTGAAATTTTTGCAAAATTATTTGTTAAAGTTGATAATTATCGAGAATTTTCTTCGTTGTGAAAGGAAAATTGAGTAGATAAATATGAATATTTCTCGCTATGATAACGTGTGCTGAAAAATGAGCTTGGTTGGACCTGGACAAACGAACACATTTTGGTGGAAGGAAATAGAATTTCTGGTCTGAGAATTAAATTCGGTCCATGAGAAGTAAAAGTTTGGTTTTCTTTCAAGCGAAACACGTTTGCTTGTTCATTATCAGTATAAACGGATCACGTATATGATTCGTCAATTTCAAAAATCTATCTGCACGTTGTACACAGCAAAAAATCTTGCGTTAAATTCAACGCATTTCACATGTTCCTAACACAAATTTTTTCTTAATTTAACACAAGTACCGTGTCTTTTGCTGTGTACATTAGTTGTAAAAACATTTTCGGTCGTTTTTCTAAACCATTTATATTCAATAGATTTTTGTCGCCGCGCGAGGTCAAGTATCACAAAGAGCGAATCGAGGAAATCGGACTTATCGTTCGTTCCGTTGCGAAAATGCGTGTCCAGCCGAGATCGGGCGGACTCGAAAACCCGACGAGAAAGAAACAAGGTGAAAATGGAAGGGAGAACAAAGGCAGACGTGGAAAAGCGTCGCCCACAACGTCGCGTTGTCTTCCTTTCGTTCTGTTGACTTCCTACCCGCCGACAATTTCATCGGCACGCTCGAGTTGCCCAGCGGACAGAGCGTTGCGTCCCCTATAAAAGCGAGGGTAGACCATGGCGGTACCAGTGTGCTCACTGCCGACCAACATGAACAGCACCGACAAGCTGAAAGTGAGTAGCGCCAGTAAGATAGCCGCTCGAATCACCGCTCGTAGAAGCGCGAGCCGCATTCGGCCGAGTCGTGCAGCGCGTCGCACACGCGGTCTCTCATTTCGAAGCCACGGCTCGTTTCCCATTAGATATGTAATGACTAGCCTCGAAGCTGGATTTTGATTCGCGATTTTGTCATACGTTACACGCACACAGGGGCCGAGACTATCAAACGTTCTCTTCGATACTCGTTGCTTTCGGCGATCGGCACGTCGAGATTACGTTACATTTCGATTACTTTCAGCGATTACGCCTGCCCGCATCGCTCTGCGTCCGATAAATCATCTCGATTTATGCGAAAAATGTATTTGCAGTGACCTGAAAAATTCTGATTTTCGCGTCGGGGATTTTTGAAAATACGACCGATGCTATCAGGACGAAAATTTTCCTGCCGAATTGACGTTACGATCAAAAGCTGTGCTGACATTAATTGTAATTCGTAAAAAGACTCGAGTTATCTCGTCCCACAAATCGTAGCGCGAACTTCAGGTATCGTCGTGATGCCGATACGAACGTCGCGACGACACGAGACCTCTCTCGAATTTCTATTCTGCAAAGAGTTAGCGACGTGCGAAGCAGATTGTGTTACGTCGTCGCGCTCGGTGAAACCTTACGAGCACGGTTTATCGCACGATACACGCTGAAACGATCGCCGTGTTTCCTTCCTTCCGGCAGGTGATACTCCTGTGCGGCCTGGTATTATCGGTCGCCGCCGAGGAGAAGAAAGCCGAGTCCAGCGCCCAGCCCAAGGATGAGAAGTCGAAGCGTGGACTGGAGCTGAGTTTAGGCGATCACGGCGGCTTCGGAGGCGGCTTCGGCGACGGCCATGGATTCGGGGGTGGCGGCGGCGGCGGCCATGGATTCGGGGGTGGCGGCGGCGGCTTCGGCGGCGGCCACGAGATCATCTCCACCGATCACATCAAGGCGGTGACGGTGACGAAGCACGTGCCGGTGCCTCATCCGTATCCGGTGGAGGTCACCAAGCACGTCCCCTACCCGGTGAAGGTGCCGGTCAAAGTGCCGGTCGAACGCCCATACCCGGTCCACGTCCCGCAGCCTTACCCGGTCGAGGTGACGAAGCACGTGCCCGTCACGGTGGAGAAACCTGTACCCTTCCCGGTGAAGGTACCCATCAAGGTGCCCGTCAAAGTGCCCTATCCGGTCAAGGTACCGGTCAAGGTCCCGGTCGAGGTAACGAAACCCGTACCCTATCCCGTCAAAGTACCCGTGGTCGTGAAGGAACCTTACCCCGTGGTCGTCAAGCACGAAGAGCACGGCGGCTTCGGCGGCGGATTCGGCGGCGGACACGACTTCGGCGGTGGACATGACTTCGGCGGCGGTGACTTCGGCGGATTCGGGCATCATTGAGGGAGTCGATCGCGGTAAACCGGGAACGGGGGACGTATTTCCCTTTTGTCTGACGGCGAACGACATCGCGGCGCGATGCGAAGGGGCTCGTTCCGATGGGATGCGACCCGGTCGTCGAGGAGCGACCGGCGGAACGGCCACGTCGTTCTAGTAGGAGCCAACGCGATGCACCGATATTGTATTCATTGTGATCCTGTCCTCGAGTTGTACTATACACCCCGTAAATGTAAAGACGAATAAAGTTATTCTCCTTTTGTACGTAACGACTGCTTACGCAACACCGAGCGTGACGCGCCGGAGAGAGAGAGAGAGGGAGGAGGAAAGGGCGAGGTAGAGTCGCGTTAGAGCGACGCGTTATGCGATTATGAGGAATTGCGAGGGGGGGAACTTTCACTCGTCGAGATATTACGCGAGTTGCGCCGAGAGAGGTACACTTGTTTCACCGTAAGACGTATATGTGCCACTAGAAAAACAAGCGTCACTCGGCAGCGGGATCGTTAAAGTAAACGCGCGCTGAGACCACCGACGACGGGGAGGGGGAGGAGGAGCAGACGGGAGGGAAAGCGACTTAAATGTCAGAGTGTGTGCGAAAATTGCGCCCGGTATAACCCTCTCGCCTCTCTCTTTGGCCGGCCGCAGCTAACAGATTAATACCACTTTCGACACACGCATCATCACGCGCTACCGTGCGCGACGTATGCGCGCACCTTGCGCCACAAGGATTCGGTCTGAGAAGCGACCACCTATCGCCGCTCATTAGACCGTCCATTGCGTCGTTCGCGTATTTTTTCTCCCCCTCTCTTTTCGCCCCGCGGAGTCGCTCGGCGACCGTTTCCTAGAAACGCGGCGGAAAGTGCGTAAAAATCGGAAGGGGTTGCTAAACCACCGTCGCGGCCGAGCGCGGCCGTTTCGAAACGCCCACCGTTCACGCACCGCGTTTGCGACACCCGTCCGATATCTTATTTATTATTCTTATTTACGGACGGACGCGCGTAATCGCACTTGCTACACGCCCCGTTTTACCCGTGACATAACCCGAAACGCGTAATCTATAAAACCCAACACTATGCACATTTTCCCGATGCAAACTGGTACGGAAATGCTTCGATAAACGCTTTTAACGTGGTATATACGCAACATGCGCTCGCTGTATCGAGGGCAACTCGTTTACCGCGCAAAAAAGAAGGGGGCGAAAAAAACTAAGCCTTTCACATTTCATTGCATCGCGCTTAATATCCTAATTTATTCACGAGTGTGTTGGTGCCTCTTTGAGAGATATTTCAGGAGAGGGCTCGCCCGCGCGAGTTACGTTACGCAGGACGGTAAATCAAGCACTCGCGCGGTTAAGACGCGGCGGTTTGCATTTTTCACCTTAATGATCCGATCGTTAATTTAACCAGACGGTTCTTAACGACAGACAAGCATCGCGTAGAAATTAATGGATTTCCTCGCGTTCTTCAGCCCGTTCAGCCGCACGTAAGAGAGTGCCTCTCGCACGCGGATAACGTCGTCGTCGTCGTTGCTCCGCTACTCTCGCTTTCTTTTCCAGATTCATAACGGGCCGAACTTTCCCGCGGTGCGATACCGCGCGCAACCGTCCATCCCGTATATAAGGTGTACTGCAACCACGGTAACAGGACGCAAACCTAATTGCCTCCCACGGTTATAGAGCCCGTAGCTCGGCCGGGGTACAAGTTCCCCGGCTACATACATCTTAGGTACCATTATGCGCGATCCATTTTGCGGCGGCATGATTCCTCCCGACTATAGAATATCTCGTTAATACGCGGTTATCGTGCAAACCGAGAGACATTCTCATCGTTAGCGACGTCGTCGTCGTCATCGTCGCGACTTGTTCTTTGCGTCGAGGCTCTGTTCTACTCTCGTTGTCGCAGCCAATGCCCCGAAAGCGCACGAACGGACAGCCGCGTCATTTCGCCACGCCCTGGGTTTACTTCCGCGTGCTGAGTCCGCTTCCGCCGCGCATGCTAGGACTTACGTGCGCGCGGCTAGAAATTGAAAGCGGCAGGCAGGCGGGCGTGCGAGCGAACGGGCGATCTTAAAATCCAGGAAAGAGCCGGCTGCAGGAACTGCAGGGAGACCACCGTCACGCTCGCTTGTTACGTACGTATGCAACGAGAGGAGTGCATCGTCCGCACGCCCGATGCGATTCGGCAGAGCTGCAGGAAGTGACAAGAGAGGTCACGGCCTTTCGTCTGGACGTCAGGATGACTTATGTGCGAATTGTACGCAGACCGACGTAACAGTCGGAACACGTTGACCGGCACGGTGAGGCCACCGGTATAACTGGCGCTGTAACATTGCCGCGTCTCTCTTACTAATTTGCGTATAAGACGTAACCAGCTGCGTAAACAAATGAAATATACGGCTGACAGAGAGCCGATGAAACGAGCTAACGAATACGGAAAGTCCGGAAAGTTTTGACCGAGCGGCCGTACACAGGTAGATCAGGTAGAACGCATGCAGGTAGAATAGGTTTAAGTGAACATAAAAGTCTTTAATATTTTGCAAACAACCACTCAAAATTTCGAGTTATTAATGATTGAAAATGGCCGTGTATAGAAGTTTGTTTAGTCAATAACTCAAAAATGTGTGTGTTATTTGCAAAATGATACAGGAGTGCAAAATGATACAGAAGTTTTTTTATCGAAGCGGCCTGATAAAGAAATATGTAACAGCTATTATACTTAACGGCAGATTCGTGGTTTGAGGTTCAAAGTTCAATGTACTGATGTCTATCTCTACACTGTTGGAAAAATCAATATTAAATTTAATAATCTAGTTGTGTGTGAGATCTGGTTAGGTTTTCTAAAATAAACAACTTATGAAAATTCATAACCAGATTGATATTGCGTTTAATAACGCATTGTTACGAAAAAACATTTGAAACCACTTTTCGCAATGGTGTTGTAATAACTGGTGTTGTAAATACTTCTGAAAATGTATAACATTTAATATTCTTAATTAAAGAATTTCTAAATTATTACAAAACCGTTATGAAAAATGGATTCAGATTATATCTTTACATAACTGTATGTTATTAAATATAATATCATTTTTATTATCACATATTATGAATTATGCCGAATAATTATGGTTGTGTAAAAAAAAGTTCACACAATCAGATTATTAAATTTAATATCGATTTTTCGAATAATGTGTATTTTTTCCTAGACGAAACACGTAACGAGCGAAAACGCCCGATGTCACTGAGGCGGCTTGCGGCGAGCGAAGTTGCGAATGCGATATGATTCACGCGAGTTCGGGAGGATATTCGAGCGAAAATTTCGCTCTTCGGAGACAATACGCATTAGAAAACATAAATATGTTATTGACATCACACACTTCTTCACACTGCTGCTCCGAACTTTCCGGGCGTCCTGTATACGTATCGCTAATTGTAAATTTTTCATCACGTCTTTGACGATTCAAACTTGAAGTGGGCATTGAAGTAACCAATCAGAAAATCAGCGCGGCAGTCAACCTGTGAAGTTATACCTTTCTAGGACGCATAATGTATTTCTCATGGGAAACTATGAAACGTCATAACTTGGCGTGCTATTACGTCGGTGTGTACTTCATCAGCGCCGATTACGATCGCGACTGCTCCTGGGGAGAGACGCTCGATTAGGAGAACGTGAAAACCGACAAATATCGTTCCAAGAGACGGGTAGATGTCGGGTAAAGTCTCGATTGAATTTATCTTCCCGCGAGATCCGAATATGCAGACATGTTGCACGCTGATCAAGACACACGGTCGGTCGATCGGTCGGTCGGTCGGTGGGCCGATGAACAAATCCCGTTATCCAACGCTGCGTGCCAGGTAATCATAGTTAATGGACTAGGAAGTTCGCGCGAAGGGGAGAGGGAAAGAGATTTCTTCCATCGGTCGCGCATAATCCGGCGGGATGCGCATGTTACGTTTACAAACATTCGGGACAGTCAATACGAGTTATATAACCTTCATATGCACACACCCATACGCACACATACACTGTAAGTGTGATAACGACGCTGTTTCGTTTAACCGTGACGCAATCCGTCTCGACAAGCGGTGGACCATTCAAGAAAAGCGCGCGACCGTTCTTCCGCTGTTCCGCGAGAATGTAAGAGCCATAATAATAATAATAACGTAGTAAAGAGCGCGGAGTTCTCCGCGCGTGTACGCGCGGGATAAGCGCGCTGTCGATCGAATCATCCTGCTATCTTCATTTGAACTTTTGAAATGTCACCTCAAAAGCGGCTCTCATCTCGATTAGCACCATCAATCATCTAGCCGCATTTCTCTCCGCGCGATGCCGTCATACGAGATCGATTAAAAGGACCCGCGAGCGTCCAAACGTTCCGTCTGCTGACGATTACGCAAGGTAAGAGGTGCCGCTCGTCTCGTTACGATTTGAAGAGTCGTGACTGGACTCGAAGTGCGTAATGAGGACTCCGACGTCAACATCGGTTCCGATTCGTCTACGGCAACAACGTGTTACGGAGAGTCGAGCGCGTGCTTCAAGCGTTGCAGAAGCGATACGAAATTGCGATTTCCGTCGCGATTTCGCGCGCGAAACAGGTCCGTTTTTTACGCTCTCTTCCCTCTTTCTTTCCTCTCTTTGATTTTCTTTTCCCTTCTTCGCCGCGACGTTCGTTACCTCGCGAACGCGCCGTTAATAACATTTCAGCCAGCGATCTTATCGCGCCCAATTAGAGAAATCTCGAGGGCGGAGGAGCGGCCGGTCGATGCTGAAAACGATGCGTATTGTTGCGTCGCAGGCGCTTCCGCGACTAACCGTATTTACCTAGCTCTCTGTGGGAAACGCGCAAAGTTGCGTGACGCGCGTGTGACCGCGAGTATCGGCATTAGTTAACTCTTGATCAGACAATTATATCGGGATAACGACGAGCTGAAAAATTCGACGCACGTGTTCAACGCCACCCGTTGAATCTGACGATTTAAGCCGAATTTCGAGATATAATTTATCGCACGTTAACGAGAGAAGGTGACGTCGTTTCCGACATGGATCACGAAGATTCGAAAAAGCACGGCGGAAAAGCCGCTTTTCCGCCTGACGTCCCGTTCGATCTCTCGTAGGATCGGGTGCGCGATGACTGCACAAACGTTATTCGACACATTTCGCCGAAGCGAAAGGAGAGCGCCAGAATCTTTCCTATCGCGTCACGTACGTTGACGGCCCCGCTTGTTTGCGCGGGAAATGATCGCCTACGTAACGTTAATATTGATGTTGTCAACAACGTAGTTCGAAGTTTGCGTTCTATTGACGAGTCTGCGGCCGCCACACGCTGACGCTACGTTAGAAGTTCATGACCTCGAAAAAAACTTCCGAGAAATTAATCGGAGAAGCGATAAAAGCGAACGCCGAATGTAGTTTGACTTTCGCCGTAGAGAAAAACAGGCTGGACGGTAACTCTAGAAAAGGAGCGCTAATCATATGGTTGTTATTGATAGAAATATCATCTCGTCTCGTTTCGTCTCATGACAGAATTATTCTGATTACGGTGTTCGTGCAACTTTATTTTATTCCGCGCTGATCACACTTTCGAGAAGTGAAAATGCAACGAAAAGAAAGATTCCCGGGAAACGCGATTAATTAATACAGCTGCATAATAATATTAATCTCGTGAGAGGATTTGTTATCTTTTGTAACAAATTTGTGTAATTAAATAATTATACGAGGGGATTATGCGGGCGTTCTACGTTTCGACGTAGAATATATTCATTCACATGTTACTTTTTATTTTCCTTATTGCCACAGGTGGTTTTTATCCGGCAGTAAACATCATATCTCACTGTAGTTAATGTCGGACACGTGCACATACGTGTGTGTAAAATATAGATGTGCACAATTTTCTGCTACGGTTAGTACGCATAAAATGCAAATTTCGCGTTCGCTAAATTTACAATCTAAAAATTCATTAATATGAAAGGAATCTACGATTTTTCAAGTCGCTTGTTCCATCGATTGCGCGCAATACATCGCGCGATTTTTCCTCTTCCTCAGGATAAGTACACGCGCGACTCGGGGTAATTGATCATGGCCAAATTGCACATTAATTCTTGTACGTGCGAAATGGTAATAAATCCGAGGTTAGCCGAGCGGCCGAGTAAATTGCCACGCTATCGACCCGAAAAACGGAGGTAATAACCCTAAAGAATGAAAAGGGTGGACCATAATAAATTGATATAATTGGACGGTACTAATTGGCTCGCATTTCAAGGTAATCTACGGTATTTTTGCGTACTCCACCCAAGTCCCAGCGGTTAAATCTGCCGAACTGAACTTCGAGCTTTTAGGAATTTTGCGATTGTCTGACACATTGCACACACAGAGGTTTGCTTTATTATGCCCATTAAAATATACTTGAACTTGAACTTATGTTAATGCCCACTTGTCTAAATAGACACAATGTCAAAAGTTTTATATCTATATTGATTCTTTATTGATATACAAGTGACTGGTTATCAGCTTCAATCAATATTGCTCAAAGGAACGTCATACATTTTCAGATAGCAGCGAGCGTTAATATGTACGTCAAGGGACCAGCTCTTTTAATCCATCAGCGAGCCTTCGGTGGTGCGGATGCTCCAATAAAACAGTAAGAGTGAAACATTTTTTTTTACATTTCTATATCGGGATAAAATATCTTTAAAATTTTTCAAAGACTTATATAAATTAAAAAATTTGCGTGTTATTTGTAATGTGGTAAAAGATTTTGTTTTGTTTAGAGTGGCCTAATCTACTACCGCTGTCATATACTTGTAGATCAGGCCAATTTAAACAAAAAAGTCCTGTGCCATTTTGCAAATAACACGCAAATTTTTGAGTATCAATTAAAGCAGCCTCTATACATAGTCATATTCAATAATTAATAACTCGAAATTTTACGCGTTGTTTGCAAAGTAATAAAAGATTTTTTTGTTCATCTCAATCCATTTTATGCTCTCATGAAGCTCGTCCCTCTTAGGACACCTATATCTTGTATTTAAAACATTTACTGACAAATAAAGGTCAAGAATTAACGTATCCATTGTATATTATTCCTTATGAGAATCATTTCTATGCTTTCTTCTTAATTTATTACCATCCGGCAACATTTAAGAATAATCGTGTTATGTGCCGGGTTTTAAACTTGTGTTAAACTTTATGTAAGATAAAATGTGCAGCTTAATCAGATCAGTCGGATACACTTACCGGACTCAACATAAACCGCAAGCCGCAAACTTCAGGCAGACAACTTGACTATTTAATTTCAAATCGCAGAAAATAGTCGCGATGTCTGGACGCTCCGCTCCGTCCGCATGGCTCATTTTAATTACGTTAGCAACAATAACATATCGGTCCGCGGGACAGCCATTGGAGTTGATAGGTGAGTAATACCGCAGCATAAGTAGAGTGGAATAATTCAACGAGGTTGTTACCTTAATTCCTCTTGCGTAATATCGGAAGGTAAATTCGTGGAATTCTTATAAAGCGCGCGCCGCGCGCAAGAAGAAACGCGGCTAAATTCATCGTTAAGGTAACCGCTTTTCTCCATTGTCCGGCAGAGTTATAAATTTAACTTTCATCGGAAGTGGAACGTCCGGCAAACTGCGTATTACGCTGCAACGTAGCGAAGGATCAAAACCCGTTTTATCGGCGTTTCAAGAGCCTGTCGATAACGAAACGGCGCCCGACCTTTCTCCGCCGTGATAGTCGCTTTTTTTTTTTTTCCAAATCTCCCGCTCTTGAATCGTTCATCACGGTGATCTCGCCGCGATGCAAATGGAAACGTAACAATTTCCGCGTTTAACGATCGCGCGCGAGACAAACCGGAAAGACGGACATTTTTTCATACGAGTCACGGGAATACGCGAGCAAGCGCGTCCATTTTTTCAGCTTTCGCAATCGATTCGACGAGAGAAAAAAATCCGAGGAGTAGCCGGGCGGGAAATTCGTTGGAAACGAGATTTTTTTTGATAGAACGCATTGATTTATCTCTGTAAATCGGTATGCTTCATATCGTCGTGATAAGTTTGTGAGAGATTGTGAGAGAGATACGCGCTGAAAATAATCGGGCGGGGAAGAAGAATTCGATTCGAAGGTCCGAAAAATGTTCCCGGCCGTGTGCGCACACACGGTGTCGTAATACCAGAGCGCGTTGTTCGCGCAGTGCAGTAACCGCGATTACGCATTATCCTCGGCTCCGTGTACTTCCTAGATCGCGCGCAGGATCGCTTATGCATCACTATTGGCGACGGTGGCGGCGGCGTAAAAGTGCATCGACTTTCGCGCGGTCTACTTACAGGGGCCGCCTCACGTGAGCGCGATTTTCCCGCGAGGCTTTTTGTTCCTCGTCTAGGATATAAACGCGAAGGAAATTGCGCCGTCACGACTTGGTTTACCGTAACGTTAGCCACTTTGCCGTGTAATGTTGCACCCGGGGGGAATAGCGCGGGTTTAGAATTACATCGCGATGATATGCAGATTAATATGTTACCGCGCGCCTTATCCCCGCGTAGCGAAACAACGGAAAGAAAGATCGCACGGAAAGCGCGCTCGAAAGGTCTAATTAAACGATGTCACTTCTCGCGGCGAGAAGCATCGCACGCGAGTTAAAAAAAATGCTCGATAAACCGAGAGCGGCGTGCTTACAGCAAATTACTCTAAAAGCACCGATCGATATCGGGAAGGGGAGAGGGCTATGCTCGCGTGATTGAATCTGCGTATGCGAAATAGCGCGCTCTATCTCGCTAATCGAGTAACATAAGGTTCGGTGGTGCGGCAAATCGTATATTATCTGCGATTCGATTTCGATCTCGCCTTTCACCGTAATCGTGGAAAATCTCACGTAGCACTGCGGTGTTACGTATTCTTTCGTAAACGCCTCCTGTGCGTCCGCGGGAAAACAGAGCAAAAATTCAGCCGAAGCCGAAGTTTTAAAGATCGGCCGATGATAAGAACACGGTGGGGAAGCGGAGATTGTTCGTTAGATAACCAGGGGGCAAAGAGAAACCGAATATGAAATGTAACAATCGCAACCCACGTTGCATCTCTTTTTACGCATCGAAGAAGTTATGCCGCGCATCTGTTCGGGAGCGAAGTTTCGCCGCGAGAAAATCGGGCCGATTCCAGTCCGGGATTTGCGACACCGCGATTATTCCGTTCTGCGCGATACTAAAAAAGGAGAGAGGATAAACTATATTTCCGCTCGATGTTTCCCAACGCGAGGGATAACTGGGAGGTGGTGATCGTTTCTAATTACCTCATCGTATACGACGGAAAAGTGATTAAAATCGCACACGGGACGAAATTAACGATCGCGAGTTTATTCTTACTTGATGTTGGCCAATATGGGCGTTTCCGCGCGAACACCTTTAAAAATTGCAATTACGATTTGAATGCCTTAGCATGCAGTCAGCCGGATAGCTTCACGGTCCAAATAACCGAAAACGAGAATGTTGTTGTCTACGGTACCGAATTATTAATCAGATACAACCCACGCGCTGGGATATACGCACTCCCCGGCACTGACGCAGTGAACGTTGTCTTCAATGAATCTACCATAGAATTCAAAGGTAATTATTATCAGTTCGTTGAAAAACTAATTAACCGCGTAATTATCGAGCAAAAATAAGTGGCGAATATTTGATTTGAGTTTAATTCACCGAATTGATTCATCCGCGCGCCAGAGTCGTTCCGTGAAAATATTCGTGAAATGTCCGCGTTTCGATTAACGACAATTATTAACGGACGAGCTATGATTACGTGTGCGTTAAAGAAATTGAAAGGATTCCCCGTTTAATTACGGCGAAGACTACGGCACCCGATAGGAGATTGATGATGCAACAGAAATTAATAACGTTGCATCCACGCGAGAATTAATTGTCGACATAATGCAGTCGTTGATCAGTCGCCGCGTCAATTAACTCAACATCAATCTCCGGCTCGCGCGTGTCATGTTTTATTACTATGCCGGTTTTATTTATCACGCGACAGTCAAGCCTCGGTGGTCACGAAGGATTGCATCTTTCAGGATACATGTCGCACGAGTATCCGGCGACCCTACCGTGGGGATCACCCGAGAGACTTTCTTGGACCAGCAGCGGTATCATTTTAGGTACCGGCATGCTTCAAGTAAGTTTAACGCCCCGTAATCGCGTAAGTAACGACCAGAAGAAAATCGAGCACGACTATTCACTTTGTAAGATAATTATAAGCTCGTCCGTCCAATAATTATTATCCTCGGCTTTTCGTCGTTGCAGGAACTAAGCAAAGAGGATTATGCACTTCAAGAATGTCGTTCATTTTTGCCGAAGAATATCAACAGCAGGTAAGAGAGAGAGGGTGAAAAGTGAGAGGGAAGAGCGGAAACAGGAAGGTCGTGGAGTTCCATTACGAAAACGAAAGATATTTCCCCGGGGTGAGATTTGCAAAATTAGTCTGTTGGCGAAAAGAGCGTACATAATAAAAAATGTAAAGAAAAAGGGCAATCCGCGGTCGAATTGTTATTGTTAACTCGTTGCGAATATCCGCGTGCGGAGCTGCCACACCATGAGTCACAAAAGTAGACGGTAAATAGCGTTGAAATTCGATAATACGATCTATCGTGAAATTCTCCGTCCTAGCGTTAATCTACCGTTTGCTGTGGAAGATGAGATTGCTAACCACGCTCGTTACTGCATCGAAGAGTACCTTTGCAAAGGGCCGATTCAGACAGAAGAACTACGAAGTATCAATAAATACCACAGATCTAAACTCGATGTTTCCGCATCTTACGCTACCGCTTCTGACGATATCCCACAACAGAATTGCACAAATATAGATATTGTTAGTATAATTTAATTACGTCTTTTATTCGCGAATCATATTATTATTATTACTATACTTCACTTTTGGTAATGTGTAAATTTTCGTTCGCAGTTGAATACGAATGAACTCATAGATCTCGTTGTCAACACTGCTGTAAAATATGTCAGGAAACACAATAAATCTATTATTATTTTCCCCGATGTGGATGAAGTATATAAATTAGGACCGTTCGGTATGAAATGCCATTTTCAAGCACTAAACGGAAGCTTCAGGTAAGTATATACTATAGATTTTCAACGTTGGCAATAAATTTTGGAACATAGTTTTAGTCAAAAGATATAGATCAACGAGATTATTTGTAAATTTCTAGAGATCTCTCGACCCTAAAGAGAACGGAAAATACATATGTTTCCGGCATGGGACGAACACACACAATAAATGTCGGCCTTGGGCTTTCCATAGCTAGGTTTCACTTCGATTATTACAAGGTAAAATGCGACGACATGATAACGATTAAAAAGTTTCATATTTATAACAATTCCGATTACATCGAAAATATGTTATGATCAATTCTACAAAGATATTTATCTTGACATGTACAGATTAAATACGGCTTTTTGGCACTAAATGGCGAAATAACGGGTACTATTGATGGACTAGCGCTATCAATAACTGCAGTCATCGACTACGATAAAGATTGTCCTCTGAGATTGAAACATTTTAAAGTAACACGATTTGGCGACATTAAAGTAAAAATGACTGGCTTAGGAGCGATTAATAGTGTAACGTCGAAAATATTAAGTTGGCTGACGAATATGTGGCGAAAAAATATCGCGAACCTTATCGAAGTTAATGTGAAACAAAATATCGAGGTACAACTAAACGAAAAGGTTTGCACTAGTTCTTTCATAGAGGCGATTGCAGGTTGATATATTCTCATAGATATGCTGTTATAAAATAAAAATTAAAAAAAGGCACGACTGAATACGATGCGTAATGGAAAATACATGAAAATTAAAATTCACGAATATTATAATATATAAATATTCCGATAAATTTATACTTTTTCTGGAAAAACTACGAGAGTGATATATGAATATAAATGATCATATTTTTTTTTTTAATTTTCCGATGCCGTTTATCAAAATATGAATGCCATTTATACATTAGCGGCGATTTCTCTTGTTTACAAGAGAAATTTATGATAATAAAATAAATATTCTCTACAATTTGTATACACACTCACACACACACGAATGGACGCCCGCACACAGAGTTTTTCAAGAATGTACAACTTTATTAATATTAAATAAAGCTAAATAATATCTGAATTAAGTGGGTTCTGTATCATTTGTTGTTTCTGTAATTTCTTCCCTCGCTTCAGCGGTAACAACTTCAGTAGTGACAGCTTCGGTAATGACAGCTTCGGTGGGTAAAGAGGGAGGACAATTAGTTTCTATTGCAACGTTTGTACTATTTGTAGATTCTGGATGGAAAGGATTACTTTCATCCTGTACTAGATTCTCCGTGTTTATGTCGTTAATGGAACTAACAGTTGCAGAATTATCCTGTATAGTAATGACATTACTATCACTGTTACTAACGCTAATATTCGTGTTTGATGCACGCTTCAATGCTAAGTATTCTTCTACCGATCCTGTTGGGACTTTTTCGGATACGACACTAGTTGTCTGATTCGCTGAGGTCTGGGAAGATAAATTTGTATTTGGCGATTTGTTCAGTTTGGATAGTCTCTGACGTTCCCTCAAACGTTTCCGAATCTCGGATTGAATCTTCGATTCTTTTATTACGTTCTGTACATCGTCAGTTTGATAATAACGTGACGCCCAAGTTTCTGACGATTCCGATGTTTGCGCGCTCGATAGAGGCTGAGACACGGATTCTTTATCGTGCTGGGAAGGAACGATAATTTTATCTTGACTTTTATCATCGTCACAGTTGTCAATATCCATAACATCACAATAATCGTCTAAATCAATAATCTCATCTGAGTCTGCTGATTTTTCTTTCTCAACTTTACTTTCCTCTGCGATCTCCTCTTTCGCACTATTCTTCTCTTCGGCGGTAACTTCTGTTTCAACCAAGGTCGAACTTGTTTCCGACTGTTTGTTAACATTTTCATCTCTTATAACTAATTGTTCTGTAACTTCAATATTTTTAATTCGTTTGGACCTAGGGGAATCTTGAACGATATTACAGGTAGAAGGAGCAACTTGCGATTTTGTGCGTAACCTTCTCTTCGATTTTTTTCGTTTATCTGCAACGTTATCCGCAGAAATAGATATCGATAAAATATTGTTCTTTATATCTACGTTTCTCTCTGACATTTTCGTTTTCGTTGCGCCTCTAGTGTTTAAATCGACTCTGAATACAATATCTGTATTATTTTGCGATGCTGTTTCTTGTTGAGTTTCCTTCCTTTCCTTCGAGTCTTGTGGAAGTTGCATAATCTTCACGTTTTCGTTAGAACTGCTTGTAGATTTCTCAGTTTCTGTTACATGTTTATTTTTCAACTTATCATTTACACTACCTTCATTGTTTTCTCCGTCACTCTCGCTAGATAACAACTCGACAACCGGGGTAGGTTGTACCACTAAGACAACATCTTCATCTTCACCGATGCTACCTTGCTTAGCATTGATAATTCTTTCTAGTTGTTTACGATAGTCCTCTTTTGCTATTGCATCATCTTGTAGTATCTTAGCATCATTATCAGTCGTTTGAGTGTTATTTGTTTGCGACGAATTGGCAGATGGAATTATGTCTTCCTCTTTTCGTATCAAAGCTCTTATTGCGCGCGCTCGCATCTCTAGCTCCAACAAATCTAACAAACTGTCTCCTTCCTTTTCTTTATCTTTACTGCCTTCCTTTTTTATTTTAACGTCTTTGGTTTTATCGATATTATCATTTTTAATAGTGACTTTATTTTTGACGTTAGACTTATCTGTATCGCTTGTCTTACTGATTTGTGATTTTCCTTTAACTTTTATTTTATTTTTCTTTAACTTCTTCGTCCCATCATCTTCCTTCTTACATACATCATCATCTGTCATCCATTCTTCCGTATCAGAAATGATTTCTAATGATGGTCCTATTAGAGGAAAAATTATAGCTAACATTATCATGTTAAATATACAGAACACTTTAACATACAATATTCAACATATTTACATACCTGAGTCTTCAGTTTCACTTGTGTCTGAAGATTCCAGCATAGGTTTGTCATTTAATATCGATAATATCCGAGTTTTAGACATACCGTTTAGTTCACTCACACACCATTGTTCCAATTCCTTCAAATCTGCTTGCTATAGACAAACAATGATGTATAATTCTTATACTTGAAATATATTTTCTTATATAAAAATCATCATCAGCTTAAATACTTGATGCTGACACAAAACTTACTTTCAGAATCTGAGGTAACATCATGCGTATCTTTTCTGGTTTAACAGACTTAAAAAGTTGACAGCCTAATTCCTTACGATCAGACAAATATTCTTTGATTGGTTTTAAATCTCTTGCATCCACTTCTTCATCTGACGATGAAGATGTGTAAGAAGAGAAACTACTATGTTCCTGAAAATAAAGTTATCTCTGAGTCATTGTACTGCGAGTAAAAATGTTGTTACCTTAAAATGCTTAAAATTTAAAATAAAGTGAAATTCTACAAATACTATCACTAATATCATGTTATCACATACCTCATTCTTGCGTGCATCTTTCTTAGTCTTAGACATGTTGATTTAATATAAGAAATATTTCTTTCCTTCTATTATATCAGTCTAAATACTGTTGTAATAAGTGGACTACTTTTTTCTCACACGTACACACAATATATATATATATATATCTTGTATCTCTGTTTCTAACTTTTGACAGTCTAACCTCTATATCACTGAATCGTATTACTGTCTCAATTGTTTTTTGGTGACTCGTAACAGAGACTTTTGGAGCGACATTCTGGGGATTTTTCTCTATCAGAAAAAAAGTTGAGAGTGGCCATCTCATAAACGTTTCAGAGCACATATTTTCCGATGCGACCTCTGACAAGGTGTATGCAAACTACGTCCGTTTCTACTTGCATACGAAAAAATCATCACTCAATCCACCACATCAATCAATCACTCCGTCTTTGTCTCATCACAAATGAGAAGATCCGCGTGACACAAGCTGGGATAAAGAAAAAAACATCTCAGTTCAGAGTTTATCAACCAAAATGAATTTTTCATCATAGCTTATGCTTATCGTATTTTCTAAATCCCGTATCAGACTACGGATTGGGGGTTAAGATTAAATTAAATTTGGCCAATCGGTAACAAAGTTAACTGAACTCAAATTTAGTGAATTTTGTACTGATTGGTCAAATTTCGACTCGATCTCAATCTTCAATCCATAGTCTGATACGGATTTAATCTTTAGTGAGATAAGGTCAGAGAGATTAATTGTTAGTTCTTGTTTGACTTATTGTGTAGAAAGACACTAACTAAGTGACTTTACCGCTGAAAAGTATATAAAACGGACGTAATTTACACCCACTTCGTCAGAGGACGCGTCGGAAAATGCGTCCTTTGAAACCTTACATGTTGGCCGCTCTCAGGTTTCTCGTTGCTAGTAAGTGTCAGCATATGCCACTAGGTGGATGTGCCGATGCTCATGTCATATTATAACCTTTATTGTTGACAACTGTTTGTCAACAAAATGACATTAATCGAATGAGATTGCCGAATATCTAATTGCAGTAAGTACAATTGTATTGAGATGAACGTGCGCTTCATGATGAGAATATATATTATCTGTTACGATTAATCTAAGGATATATTTTTTGCGTAGGTATTTAATGACAGGTAATCAAGTCTTCAATAAGAAAGAATCAATTGTTTCTAAGATTTACATATATCTTTGCATTGTATGCAAATAAATAGATGCTCATCAAATTTTGATGCTCTAGGCACGAGGTTAACTCTAGTGAGTAGCTATAATGTGTGATACTGTCTGCTAAACCTAATGTCAATTTGGATCCCGCGTAGCCTTGCATAGGTTTAAGAGAGAAAAATGCTGAATCGCTTTAAGTCAGTATTAATGAGTGCTGTAGGCGCAAGTGAACTTGGCCTACAGTACCCTAATGATTCGGATAAAGATATGATGACAGATTATATTAATTCAAATTATGTTGTGGAAGTGGAAAATAAACCTTATAGCCGTCCAAGTTTTCTAGGCTTGACATCTGAGGAAACACAGGTACGGCTAGATTCAGATCATATAAATCATATTGAGAGTTGATTTGTAATATTTCAAAATAATTATAATATATGTAGAATTAGAATTATCTAAAGTTTATTGATATATTTGCATAGGTGAGTGCAGATCACAGAGTAAGGCCTATCATAGTTCCAAGGGATCTCAGCCGTTTACCATGGTGCGCTGGTTATGCAGAATGTATAAATGCTGGAAAGAGTACTTGGAATGAGGATCAAGCTTCTGCTACTCGTGGAGATCTAAAATTGTCAGATGCTAATGTTACACTGCCTTATGTCATATTTTCAATGTTTGATGGCCATGCAGGGTATCAAGTTGCTCTTACAGCAAGGTTACACCTACATAGAATAATTCTTGTATGTGTCGTATCTTACCGAGAAAAAGACAATTATTATTTAATCATATATTTATCAGTGAAAAAAAAAACTTATCAGTAAACTATCTGAAAACATAGGAAAGGTTACTGGCTATACCGGGTAATATGTTACTAAATGAAGATGAGGAAGAGTTAATAAAGGGCAGAGACCTAGTTACAGGTGCTATAGAATTAGCATATAGACAAATGGATCAGATGGTGGAAATGCAGGCGCAAAGTGGCGGTGGTGGTTGTACGGCTATTACTATCTTATTTCTTAATGGGAGGCTATATGCTGCAGGAGCTGGTGATTCCAGGTTATATTATAATTACTTGGTCTGTCCTTTATAGCTGAACTAGCTGCACTAGTTCAAGAAATTTACACACAGAAATTTACATCGAAATGTATGAAACATATGTATAAGATTCTCACGTTTCAGTGTGCATAAATTTTTTGAACTAGTGCAGCCAGTGCAGCTGTAAAGACATGTGTGTACATATGTGTAATAAATGATGTCCATAAATTCAGATAATAAATTAGTTGCATTAAATAACTTATGTAACCGTTTTTAAATAATTATAGAGCTGTACTAGTATTGGGGGAGGATCAGCGCGCTCTTACCAGAGATCACACTCCGGATTCCGAATCAAACCGTGTCAGAGCTTTAGGCTGTTTAAGAAGCAACGAATTGCTTAAAGGTCATTTCACTCCGTTGGAGTTTAAAAAGAGACCATTGCCGAAAGAATTGGGATCTATGGTCTTGTATAGAGAACCATATATGACGGGTTGGGCATACAAAACCCTAACGTACCCTGACTTAAAATTACCGCTCATTTCTGGACACGGAAAGAGGGTAAACCATCTCTAATTTAATAGCGTTTTTTTTTTATTTTATTAAATAAACATTTATTTTTTTTTTTATTTTGAGAAAGGAAGTTTGGGTCGCTTCGGAAACGATTAATAACATTATTAATTTTGTAACAGAGTAGACAAAGCTTATGACGTCATTAATCATGCCCGGAGCGATCAAATTCACCTCAGTCGAAAACTCTACAACACTGTTTGAATCAAATTAATTCCTTTGTAATACGACTAAGAAATCTTTTTTGACGTATAGAGTAGAGTAATGGGGACAATAGGCGTGACTAGAGGTTTCGGAGATCACGGTTTAAAAGCGGCTAACACCGGTGTCAACATTAAACCGTTTCTGTCGTCTCAACCTGAAGTACAATCTCTGGACTTGGATAGTTGTAATCTCACCGAGAGAGATTGTATTATTGTCGCTACTGATGGACTCTGGGATGTAGTATCGGACAAAGCAGCAGCAACTATACTTAGGAAGACACTTGCCCCTGACACTCCATCATTAGAATACAGGTATCACGCCGTGAAAAGAATATATATATATGTGTGTGTGTGTGTAAAAATTAAATTTCAACTGAGTAGAAAAACTCGTCCTTTGATGTGCAGACTCACAATGGGTGCTCAAGAATTAGTGCAAGCTGCGAGAGGTCGATTAATCGGCAGAGTATGGATGGGAAAGCCCGAGAATCCTGACGATTCGGTTGAAAAATTCTCACCGACAGCATCAGTGGATGACATAAGCGTATTAGTAGTACCTTTATATCCCTATTTATGTGAACATAAGCAATGGTTGAAGACTACTCAACAAGAACGAAGATATGCTACTGAACCTTTACACATATCAACCAATAATCCTGCATAATAAATCGTTACGGCTACCTAGTCGTACAGTCCATCATGAAATAGGAACACAATTTTATTATACAATATTCTACTCTTAATGAAATACATTTATCCGCATTGCCATGATAATTCATCACAAACTCATAATTATTATTATTTAATCTCTTTAGAATAATTGGCGACATCTGAATCAACAATCGCCCCGTATATATATTTCACACATTTTTCTTTGAAATAATAAATTATTGTATACTGCCACCGTAAGAATGTATGTTAATCACACAAAAAGCTATGTTATAATTATTTAAATAGACATTCCATTATGCATGTTTCATACTAATTGTAATATGAAACATTTACAATATTCCAAAACGTTTGATATATAAGCACTAATTATTGGATTGTTATTACAATTAGTATGTAGATTGTACACAATATATAATATTAAAAGATACAAATATTTTTATATTGCTTTTAAGGATCAATAATATGTTACCATTCAATATATTCTGAGTGTATTACGGTATTTCATCATATATTGTTATGTTTCCATTAGAATTCTACTATAATAAGATGATATTGTACGTGTGATGTAAGTAATATATATGAGTATGTGTAGTAAGAAAATTGTACATAAATAGAGAAAACACTACTATCTTTTTAAACACGATAATGAGTAGATTTTATGACATCATGTATTATATAATACGATTAGCCCGAGTAACTTGTAGAAGAAGTTACTATCTCGAATAAATATTGTAAACAAAAATATTTCTGTCTCCCCCCCCCCCCCCCCCCCNCTCTTCCTCCACTTTTTCTTTTTCTCTTTTGACCTTAAAAAATATATATACATATAATTTGTATTAATCTTTAAGAGAACTTTTTTAAACTTTTAAAGAAATATATCTTCTCTAAATTTCAACTGAACCTCATAAATTTAACTATTTGATGTCTTATTTACCTCATATTTATAGATTTTATTTATTATTTCAGTATTTATTTAAAAATAGGTGAAAAATCGCTTTTTATCCGCGCAATCTTTGAGACACTTTGTACCTTGAGTACGAGATGGCGCTAGAAGTATTAAATTTGTGTTTACCGGTACGTTACACTACACGTAACGATAACAAAGTGTAAATATATGAATGAGAAATATACAAGTTTTCTTTTATTCGCGATGTAAAATAAACAAAAAAATGTATAGATCATCATTTACGTTTGTTTTGTTAAATATTAGTTGAATATATTGGAAATAGTTTTAAGATTTCTTTATTGTAAATCTAATCATCGAAGTATTTTTAATCTTGAATTAATAATGACACAATGTCGCATAATGAAGAAAAGATAATAAACATTTATTGGTACGCTTTCAAAGTAGATTCGCGCGCAAAATCTGAGCGTCGAGTAGACACGGGTGAGTGGGCTGTTCTTTTGTACGATGTTAAATTGCGAACTTTCAGGATACGCGTGTTAGCACGCATGTGGACACGTTTTATACGTTTAGGGAGAACCAAGTGCATTTTCTCGTCGCAACCAACGCATATAGCCCGAAACAGTTAACTCTCATAAATTTAATTACGAGACGCAACCAAAATGGAAGGTCGGTCCCTCTTATTACTAAGTAAAATCGTAAATTAATCTCAGCGTGTTGATTTTCTCGGGAAATACGTGGTATACGGTGAATTTCGCGAACTGTAAATTATTAGTGCTGTGGTATTGTACCGTATATCAATGCCTTATAGATCAGTAAGCATCGGAGTTAATGTGATTTCATCGTAACCATCGGAGTTATACTTATTCCCGTAATTTTACCTTTAAATATTTTAACGAGAGAAAAGAATAAATATTTCACTGATTTTTGCGCCTTTAATTATACCGAATTAAAGGTTAAAAATTTCCGAGCTGCTAAAATTCCCGATTTAACATGTTAATTAGAATAATAATTAGAAAAACGCTGTTGATACATCGCGCTTCATTAACGCGAGAGAGTGAGTGAAATATGAGCGGAATACCTAGCGGTGCGATGTTTTGTTCCATTACGGATTAAACGGTCGGGAAGCTGAAAGACGTTACGCAGCAAATTCCTGTCGACCGACGGCGATGAAGTCGGAGATGAATTGTAATGCGCCATGCATTTCCGCCAACTAAGAGCGACAGCGTAAAAGGGCGCGGAGATAGAGTGTCGCAAATCACCGTACGAAAGTGCTCTTCTACGAAAGTAGACGAGCGTAGTGAAAACCAAACCTAGCCTGACAGTTTCCCCGTTCCCCTCTTCGTTGACCCACCATCGTACAATTTTCTAAAAAAATTGCGCCATGCACTGAGCTGATGGCTATCGGATCTCGACCTTCCTATGCAATGCACCAGCGATTTTGGAGCTTTCAGAGCTCAGATCAGTGATAACAATACACTATTCATAAATGTTTCCGTTAACTCTCGATATTCACGATGAGCTTTAGTATTCATAATTATAATTAATTTAATTATCATCGTGAAGAGAAAGAGAGGGGGAGAGAGAGAGAAAGAGAGAAGCAAGCGCAAGAGAACTTCGGAAAATTTTTCAGATTGATACTTCATGATAGGATTTCTTCAATAAGAATCTCTGGTTATCTACTTTAATACGTTGGAAATATATTAGTTCTACTTCACGTCGATCGACGGATCTATCACGCTCCGATAGCTTTATCATAAAGACCTCGTGCGCTATCTCTTAGAAGCGTAATGTACGCCACGGCTTCCCGTCGAAAAATGGGATGCACTACTTTTTGAACGGGCGTCCGATCACCGATATGTTTTTCATGGCGGCGGGTTATGACGGGCGATCTGTCACGGTCACCGTAACGGTAACTCCAAGGGGTTGCGAAGGGCTTAATGCCTCTCCTGGTAGGGATAACGTAAGAAAGAGCGTGCGTGTGGAGGACGGGGAAGGAGTACGTTACACCATATCAAAATGGCCACAACTTAGGGGTCCTGCGCTACCTCCGATATATCATCGTTAGAGAACTTTGGACGGCTTCCTGGTTCCACCATTGATGGCTTCCTCCGATACGACATGATGTATCTGTTCCTCATTGCCGCAGCTCGTGGAAATGAGAATCGGAGCAATTTGAAAGTAAAAGTACCCACTCGAGCAATAACAAAGTGTTCCTCGACCATTTACTTATCCGTCTTCTGACTCTCATCGGCAGAGTTTAGTCTTAGATTAAAAGGATGGTTTCTCGTCTACCACAACGTCAACTCCATCTATCTCTTTCTCTTTCAAAAGGGAACTTCTCGAGGAGTAATTTATCGAATACACACATATGTATCGGTGGTCGCGCGCGTGCGCCTTCGAATGCGATTAATATAGTAATGAAGAAATATACGATGTTACCATCCAACCGTGTTCGCGCATGACACGTATAGCTCTCAGTTTCCTCGCGAAATTAACATCGTGAACCGTATGACTGCATTGCGAATTTCCTACCGTTGATTTACCGGCTGCCGCGTGCTTCTTGTCAATTCTCTCAGCTTGTTCCAACCTAATGTCCGTTGACTAGAAGCTGACGCCCAGCTGCCGAAGGTAATGCAACGGATAATGCGGCAAGTTTGCTACCAAGGGATTACGTGACCAGCTCTCAGTTTCGGCTTCCGAGCCTAGAGTACCATCTGTATTGCGACGGAGTGACGCACCATACTTCTCAGATATTCAGACAACGAGACTAAGTTCCCATCCATTGCTTATGCGCAGCTAAGTAATTTCAATTTGGCATTCGAAGCAATTTGCTAGTTAAGCTCGTTTACGTGTGGCAACGTAAGTTTTCCTTGAACAAAATAATACTCACGGCACGTAGCGCGGAAGTACGATAAACCGGAGACGTTCCGCGCATTAATCTTGCCAGATGAAAGTGATCAAGTTCTAGTGAATTTCCGATCGTTCAACGCCCATCGCTCGACGCGCGAAATCGCGTCGGATTGATTTCGAGCGTCTGAGAGCGCAAATTTGCAAGGAATCAGTTATCATAAGATAAACTGACTCAAGCGGCCAATCCCATATTTTTAACGCGTTATCGTAGATGTAACTCGAACGAACATCCAATTCGACCTAATCAATTCGGGAGAAAAGAAAATAATAGATTGAATTCGATCGATTAAAAGTTAGAGAGCGCGGAAAATAAAAAGGAATGAAAGGAATCAAAACGAAAGTTTCCCTCTTGCCTTCTCACCTCTTTGCCGTCTCACTTGATTCGCAAGACTTCTTCGTCATTAAAGATTTTCTTCTCTCGAGATGACGATGAACTGCCGTAAAGTTCGTGCGGATTGAAAAACTATTCGGACAACATGAGGGAATTTTCTCAAAAATGCATATTAACTGCACGCAGATAGATAAAACGATCCACGTGTTGAGAACGGCTATATATCAGATAAATTAAGTTTCTCTCTAGGTCCTTTATGCAATATCACGCAGATAATTTCGCAAACTCTTTGAAACGTTCCCACACAACGCTGACGCTGTGTGAAATGAACGTTCCGGGCAAGAAAAATGAATCAATTACGGATAATAACTGTAAAATACTTATGGAATTAAGTACCGAGCGTGGTGTGGGTTTTTCTATATTACTAACAGAATCTCTCTTTTTCTTTCTCTTCGGATATAATCAGGACCGCCGAACCTGCCAACTGGAAATAATAACGGAGACGGTGCCGTCATTCCCGTCCGTAATTATCATCGTGCATTTCAGCCGTTCCCGGCGCGATATCACACAACTTTTCCTAAATACATTATCTACATTTCGCATCGGCGTTAATCCGCCCGCGGTAAGTAATTAAATTTTCCGGGAGTGCCATTCCGCGGGGAGTTTATCTAGAGCGGCTATAAAAAAATTCTGACTTTTAGTCGCCAGCTTTTATCGAGGCGAGCATTTCGGCGACGACGAGTCGGCAGATAAATCCGGCCGAGCATTTCCCATCCGCGCGTCCTTTTCGCGGGCTAATGCGCTTTCCGTAGGACGCGCGCTGGACGTGCAACGAGGCTCGACGTGTGCGTGTGCCTTCAGAGGCCCATGTCGGTTTGTGCCGACGACGGGAACGGTTATCCGATATCAAATTACCGTACGTCGGGCCAGGCTCCTCCACGACCCAGGACCCGGGATCTGTACGCCAATAACTTCATTCCGCGCTGACACAACTCGTAATGGTATAATCTGTCCTGCGAACGGCCGGCACCGCTCCCTCCTGCTTCTGATCTTTGCAAATTGAGAAAAACCACGCGGATCGATCGCCAAGATAATTTAACCCCGAGCAATACAAGAATCTCCTCTTTACAGACAAGAGATTTCGATACGACGTTCGATAGATTAAACTTAATCTGGAGTCGAGAAGCAATCTGGTGCTAGAAGATAACGGAATCAAATAGAAATATACACGAGACTGAAATATATACGGCGACTTTTAGAAATATTATTGCTAGATAAATCAATGACCAATTAATGGGCAATTAATGCTGCGACAATACCTTCACGTAACTATCGTGTTATCATTACATATTCATAGTTTTGTAATCTCGATAGTCTACGGTAATTTCCGGTTTGACACAAAAAAGTCGGCCGTCACGCTAAGAGATAAGATCTAAGTCGTATGCGATAAGTAGTGTAATGTGTCATAATGATATGAAACGTAATTCGTTGCCGTTCGCGAAACGACTCATCGAGATGTTGTCGACTCGTCTCCTT